TGTAGCAATAAACCATATGGAGTCTATATGAAGATTTCTGCATATTTGCCCTGGATCCACAGTGTCATCAGAGGAGACACGGAGAGATCGGCTGATCTGCGCTCTGATGTGATGTCTAAGCTGTCATCATGGTAACAGGAGAGAATTAAATTGAAAATCTCTTGATTTTCAATTTAATTTTTGATTGATTTTGTAGAGAAACAGATGTTTGAAGTCAGTGGATTCTTATTAAAAGCTCTTACCACTTTTGTGTTCTGTCTCTACTTTTTTCATGTTAAAAAGACATACAAATTAATGTACATCTTCTTTTAAATAAAGCCAGTATTAGAAATACTTTTTGTTTCCATAATATTAAAAAAACATGGGAAAATGGAAACGTTATCGTCATTCATTTAAGCAGATGGCAAAAAATGAGACTGCAGTTTGTGGTGGATGGTTGGATGGGGGTCAACAAATTGTTGGACTAGCAGTTTGTTTCCAGTCATTTATTGACACTCCCATTGGTTGGCCAACCAAAAACAATTTGAAACAAACCAAGTTTTTTACCTGGTCTATAAAAGGTTTTTTTGCTTTAACGTTACCATTTTTTAACCATAGTGTTCTGAGAAGAGGAAACGTTTTTATTTTATTTTAAAGTTCTAGAGGTACTGAGAAGTGATGTTTTGCCTTTTTCCCATTCGCCCCCAGTCAATATGGGTGAAGAGAAATGCAGGGGCACATATTAGTGCTAGTGTGTTGTTATACCAAGTAGATTTACACATACAAGGAATATGACTGTGTTTTTGTACAAAACAATTAGCAGAGAAATAGAGCAAAATTACTAAGAAGTTATAAAACAGCAGTGCTCCTGCTGACAGGGAACTTAAATAGAATTAATAGTTTGATCTAGACCTGCTCTTTAGTAAAGTGTCTTGAGATAACAGTTGTTATGAATTGGCGCTTTACAAAAAAAGATTTATTGATCGAACAAGAAAAGTCCACTGAAAAGCCCCCAAAAATCTTTTAATGTTTGCATTCCTACATCCCTTTTTGTCACTTGCAGCAGACTTCGGGGTTGTTATAACAACTATAATTAATATGCATATAATTATTTAATCTTGTACATAATGGCTCTTTAATTATTTTAGAGAGGTATAGCCCCCCTTACCTTAGAAGTCCAATCATGATATTCATCTTGAGGCAACAGCATTTTACAAACTCCAACACAGCAAGAAAAAGGGTACAATTACAATATAACATTATAATTACATTCAACCCTGATTATTTTAGATCATCTAAGTCTAAAATAAGGAACTATGATAAACAAAGCCAAGCTGTAAGTCTTCAGGTCACCCATCTGCATGTCTATCACTCAGATCCTTGTTTCCCTGGGAGAAGAAGCCAGTCCAGCATTGCCAGAGCCCCTGTGGCCAACTGCACCCACCCTGTAGACAGCAAGTAATACACTGACTTGAGACAGATAGGCTGTGACAACCTGCTCTCAGGTTGGCAAGTGGCCTGAAAATATAGTGCATATTACTTAGAAACAAGGATGAAGGAAAATTCTTTCACAGGAGGTTTGTTTGGGATGGTTAAAATCCTTACTAACTGGGAGAATAAGTTTAGAAAAAAACAAATTTTCCATCCAAAAGAAGCTTCTGTGCACATCATTTCTCCATGAGTATGTCTTGCCTTGCTGTTAGTTACTTGAAACGGGTATCAGACATTTTGAGACAAACTATAGATTCAGTTGCTCATTAAAATGTTAAAATGTTTTTTTAAATTGATTTGTAAAAGGGAGTAAGAAATAGTTTAGCAAGTCTTCAGCAAGGGAAAGAGGTTTTCCTCTTTGACTTCTAAAATATTTATTATGCTGTCAAGGGCCATTACTCTGTACCAGTCTCAGAGTGTACTCTCTCTGGCTCCATCACTCCTGCAGAGCTCTGACTGACGTCAGTAACACGAACAATCTCATTCGGCATGAAACCAGAATTAGCATGTACATGAATTGAGTCTTAGCATGATGTATATCTAATGATACACTTTCAGTAATTCAAGACTGAATATGAATTTTCCAACGCCTCAATGTGTCATGTTCAGTTTGTGTTTTACATGACACATGTTTAACTCTTGATATATTATCTTTAAGTCATTACTCATTTTAACAAAGTGGCCTTTAGAGATTTATGTTTCATTGCATTCAATCCAATATATAACAAGCAAGTCATATGCAAATCCAGGCGCCTTACAACTTGTGTCACTGTGTTTCTTTTAAAATTGTCATTATCCATATTTTAAGGAAAGAAATGCCATTTGGCGGAATATTTTATTTCTTACATCACATTTTTCATTATAGAAATAAACTTATACACAATTCTTGTCTTAATGTGCACTCTCTGTTCTCTAATCTCCACACGTAAAGAGTTAATGTACACTGTGTCTTACAATAAACATATAGTCAGCTTCGAGGAAATGGTACAGCTGATAGCAGCCATCTGTAGATTGAAATCCTCAAACAAAAGACATGAGCTTTGAGGCTGAAATTATACATATCAATAGTACTTCCTATGCCAGTTTATTGATAGTCACATGTTGTGTACTCAGCTGTCAGATTATGCACTCTGTCGGTTATGCGGTTCTTGCCTGTTTGCTTAAACATAAAGGATACTTATTTCCAAATAAGGGGCCTCATCTGACATCATACAAAGAGTTTTTGGCGTCTGGCTGGTATAATGTTTAATGTGCAGGAGCTTCATTCTACATTTGTAAATGTTTCCTATCTGTCACAAGATTTTCTGACTCAATACTGATTGTGTCTGTAGTATAACCCATTGATGAAGCCATTGCAATTTCAGGTTAAGGACCTGGATGTTTGTTGGGTCATTATAAAGAGAATTTCACAAGCTGCTGTCAGTGTCATGTTTGTCATCATCCAGCAGTATGTTGTTGTACAGACAGGATAGGAAAAGCTAATGTAACAGACTTCAAGTCAGTGATGTGTAAGTGTTGCTGTTTTCTTATCATGGTAAAGGTTCAAAATTGTGACATTATCAAAGCTTCCAGCAGAGCCCCCCCCCCCAGGTGTAAGTGTGCTGGATGTACAAGGCCACCTGGTGGCCAGCACAGTTATATCATAACCTTCATGAAAAAGATGAAAAAGATTTTTGGTGAAATTATTGTGAAGAGTATACTGATAGATTTAACTTAAAATTTAGATTAAGATATCATACATGATGTAAAACCAAGTGTCATAAATTACATGACATGCCACATCAGCTTATATGGTATGACTAATATGTTTTGATTGTTATTGGTTCATCATGTTTCAAGTGATTCTAGGTTTAGTCTAGTAGCAGTCCTTGGCCTTAATATATTACATATCTGTGTTTTTTGTTGAACCCTTGTGATGCGATACAATTATCACTGACACCTAGCACCCTTCTTCCTCTCAGCAGAGTCTTTAGGAAGGACATATATAGAGGTGTGAAAAGGCTTTATGACTGAAATGTTTAAGTGTATGTGCACAACACAGAGCTTGTACTTCTGAGCATGTATGGAAATTATTAGAAACTGGCAGAACAACACACGGGAGTCTGTGTCATCTTGGATCTCATTTTTTATTAGTTTAATTAGTTGAAAATTATGACATCCCTATTCAAATACAAACACACTGGTCATAACACAAACACCTACACAGGCTGTCTCCTGGATCCATGCACACAAACATGGATTACTCACAGAAGGGTAACCATGAATCTTTTGTTGTATGGGGGGCAAATAAATACACTCAGACTGGAGTTGCTTTATGGAAAATATCAGCAAAATTCTGAGTCATCATCCTGTGCCTGGAGACGAAATGTTATGACACAAATGTTTACAACTGTGTTCCTGTTTTTGAGAGGAGACAAAAAAGATTTTGGCCGCTTTCCCACAAACAGGTTCTTGCCTGTTTGCTTAAACATAAAGGATACTTATTTCCAAATAAGGGGCCTCATCTGACATCATACAAAGAGTTTTTGGCGTCTGGCTGGTATAATGTTTAATGTGCAGGAGCTTCATTCTACATTTGTAAATGTTTCCTATCTGTCACAAGATTTTCTGACTCAATACTGATTGTGTCTGTAGTATAACCCATTGATGAAGCCATTGCAATTTCAGGTTAAGGACCTGGATGTTTGTTGGGTCATTATAAAGAGAATTTCACAAGCTGCTGTCAGTGTCATGTTTGTCATCATCCAGCAGTATGTTGTTGTACAGACAGGATAGGAAAAGCTAATGTAACAGACTTCAAGTCAGTGGTGTGTAAGTGTTGCTGTTTTCTTATCATGGTAAAGGTTCAAAATTGTGACATTATCAAAGCTTCCAGCAGAGCCACAGAGAAAGGCTCAGAGGAGTAGATTCCTCTGTGATGCTTACACTGACCTTTATGTGGGAATTTGAGACAACATGTAAGACCCACCAGCTTGCTGGATTCAGAAAATCTGTATATCTAAAAAAAACTTTAACACATGGGTTTTCCAAAAAGTAGTGCCCCCCCCCCCCAGCACAGTTATATCATAACCTTCATGAAAAAGATGAAAAAGATTTTTGGTGAAATTATTGTAAAGAGTATACTGATAGATTTAACTTAAAATTTAGATTAAGATATCATACATGATGTAAAACCAAGTGTCATAAATTACATGACATGCCACATCAGCTTATATGGTATGACTAATATGTTTTGATTGTTATTGGTTCATCATGTTTCAAGTGATTCTAGGTTTAGTCTAGTAGCAGTCCTTGGCCTTAATATATTACATATCTGTGTTTTTTGTTGAACCCTTGTGATGCGATACAATTATCACTGACACCTAGCACCCTTCTTCCTCTCAGCAGAGTCTTTAGGAAGGACATATATAGAGGTGTGAAAAGGCTTTCTAACTGAAATGTTTAAGTGTATGTGCACAACACAGAGCTTGTACTTCTGAACATGTATGGAAATTATTAGAAACTGGCAGAACAACACACAGGAGTCTGTGTCATCTTGGATCTCATTTTTTATTAGTTTAATTAGTTGAAAATTAAAGGTAACAGAGAGGAGATTTTTTTTCAATAGACATTTGTGAGGCCCAGTTTCAATCCCCCGACTTTCATTCAACTAGTCCTGCATTAAGCCTGTTTGAACAGCTGAATCCACTCCATAGACATCCACCTCTAACAACAGCATAGGAACAATGACTCTGAAACAGACTTTCAAACTATGTGATGAAGAGAAGAGACGATCATCTTCAAGGCTGTGTGAGCCTGAATTTGAATGTCCTTTTTTTTCAAACTAGGCCGAATGACATCCCTATTCAAATACAAACACACCGGTCATAACACAAACACCTACACAGGCCGTCTCCTGGATCCATGCACACAAACATGGATTACTCACAGAAGGGTAACCATACATCTTTTGTTGTATGGGGGGCAAATAAATACACTCAGACTGGAGTTGCTTTATGGAAAATATCAGCAAAACATGCAGACCATGGAAGACAAATTAAAATACAGAGGATATACAGTATAGTTCTGTTAGTATGTGTTCCTCAATATCTTACAATATCGTATTTGTGAAGCAGGATGCAATAGTTTTGTTTTTTTTACCACACAAACATGGTTGGAAGCTCTTGTGGTGAGTTCGTTTTTCATGTCTGTGATCAGCAGTCATGGTTAACCAAAGAGGATTCAGTTTATGAAAACACGCATTATTACAAACAATTGATTACATCGTGATCACAATTCAATTATCTCTAAAAGCAAGAAAGCAATGTAAATTACAAGGATTGAAGAAAACTGCTGAAACAGCATTGAACTGTGAAATTGTTCACGTTGAATTACATATTACTGCATGTTAATATGATATGTACAGATACTATAATTTAAACTGCCAATTTGATAACATCATCCACTTGTGTTTTATCACACAGGACACACCATGCTTTCATTGAGCTGTCTCAGAGTTTACAGATGTTTCATCATTAGCGTGTGTGTCCTCTTCATCTCACTCGTCCCATATAAACTGTAAGGTGCAGTCCTGCATCTCGGACTTGAAGACACTGTTGAAATATTGATTTTGCTCATCTGAGAACATGTTTTTCCAATCTCCTATCTTGCCTAAATTGAAGAAGCAAGGGAACAAAGAGACAAGCAAGAAAATTAAAAATTAAAATATATGCTCTTCTCAGCTGATTATAATTCTAAAGTTTCTGTTGTCTTTTTTTAACCTTTAAGATAACAAACCACACAAAATAGTTGTTGAAGATTCAGGAAAATATAATGATCACATTTACATGAAATGTGAATATTTATGTCTGACTAAGCAAGGGCCAGGAGATGGTTAGGTTAGCTAAGCATAAAGACTTCAAACAGAGGAAGAACAGCTAAGCTTTGTCAAAAATAAAAACATCTGTATATGAACTCCTCCCAAACTCACTTACATGTTATATTTACTATTTTTATCTATGTAGTGTTGTACACGCAAGCACTGACATGGCTGGAAACTGAAGAAAGTTACTGCCCCTGTCTGATATGTGTCTAAACACTACAGTGTAAAAACAACAGCTGGCCTACTTTGGCCTTTTTTCAGCTGGAGTTGATAAAAGTATCAGTTTGAAGTAGAGGGAATAAAACGTTGCGTAATCCCTTTTACATTTTTTCATGTTATCCCTCAGATTCCTCATTCATCGTTACACATCAATTTTATTTGATCTATAAATGAGAAAAAAAAGAGCCCTACCTTTTCTCATGAACGAGCCCTTGTTATGGTCTATTATATCTGGTGAGATCTGCGTGTAGTTGACCATGTTGTTGTGTTTCATGCTGTTGAAGGTGCAGTGTTTCACACAGTTGTTGACCTCGTCCTCCACCAGGGGACACTGTAAGAAAGAGCTCAACCTCTTTATGGCTCCATGAAGATCCTGAAACCAGAAGGAAACCAAAAACAATATTATAAGAACTCTTAAAGATAAACTAGTCTTAAAAGGAAATTTGCATTGAAACATACAAGTGACTTATGTGAGCAATCTGCAATGAAAGGCTCGATAAAATCAAAGACTCTGATGTAGAATAGTAAGTTATGTTTTGCTGGTTTATAAAAGTTTAAAACATTTTAATTCTATCTAAATTCATGATTCTATCTTAAGTCCTGCATCTCAGCCCTGTGAATATAGAACAAGATAGATATTTATCTTAGAAGTAATCCCAGGCTTAGGTTCCTATTAAAAAATACCAGTAGCCAGCCATTTAGTGTGAGTAGATAGAAAAATGAAATAAACTTTACCAGTGACATCTCTTCATAAGTGATGTGAAGCAGATTGTTCATAGTGGCTGGCTGATTGGTCCAGCCTTTCACATGGTCAAACCAGGATCCATAGGACACTGTAGCAATTAAGTGACCAATTTCTGTCAGTCAATTAACACTTTTGGCTATAGAGCTAAAATCACCTTATCCTTAAAAATGTATTTATTTTTTCTTAACGTAAACTCACGTGTGCCCTCCAGAAATGATTTTAAAAACTGTGGAAATGAGCCAGCCTCAGGGAGGAAGTTGGCTATTTTGTGGAAGTGGTAAAAAGACACAGCAACATCTTTAGGGTTTCTGCTCACGTAAATAACCTGCAAGAGGAAACAGCAACCGTTACAGAATAGTTTTGCAACACACTTGAAATTTAAGAATACTGAAATATTTGATGAGGATTAGCCTATGTTTTTTTTTCTTATTTTAACTACATAACTCAAACACTCAAACTTGATGTAAATTCCTCAGATTATTTTTTGGAGTATTTAACTGAGGTACTGAGTAGAGCATTTTAAAGTTGAAGAACCAGCATGTCTTACCTTCCATTTTTTCCCTCTTAAATTACAAGTCTATCTTTTTGCTTTTTATGGCTCTGTGGTCTTAACGGGAGCATCATTATGTAAATCTGACCTTGGCTTTGGAGCTGTGGAGGCCAGGGCCCAGCAGGTGATAAGGCAAGTGTGTGGTGATGACTCGAGGTGTGCTGGGGGAAGCCTCCAGTATGGCAGCAAAATAATATTGCTCAAGCCATGGAGACCGAGTCCAGTTTGGGACTTTCATCGACAAGTGCGGGTCTCCTTTGTTGGATATGAGACTCACAATTTCCTGCATCCATGTGGTGCCTGTTGAGAGAGAAGAGACAATCATCTGGAACTGAACTCAGACTACATACACAACAGTTCAACAACACAAGTCATGTTAATGACAATCATGAATTACGATGATGATTTCAACATTTAGTCTGCGGTAAGTTGCTTAACCCGTTATCGGTTGCATTACACTTGAAAACACTTATTATATACACTTACACAATTTTTGGCTTCTCTCTTTCTTACCTGACTTTGGATAGGAGACGATGAGGATATCCGTGTCCTGAAATGGAAATTTAAGAGCAAGTTGCAAGGAATCCTGGGTGTGTAGGTGTCCAGGAAAACAAATACCATGAAAAACCTCAGTTACATCCAACCTGGCCATATTAAGTATTTGTCTGCCTGAAACCTGTATGAGCCTATCTCTTTCTCTACACTGTGCCGTCTCTGTGAGTCAGAATGACTGATGAACACACACAAAGGCTTTTCACGAGCTTGAAAGAGGAAATGTAAATGGGCCAGACAGTGGGTGTATTCTCAAAAGCTCTTTTATGCTGTTATCTTGGCCTTTTTTTTCCTCCCTTGCCAAAGAGGTCCCTCACCTAGTCATACTGCCATGGTTGAGTAAAAGCTACAGCTACACCAGTCAGTATTTCTAAATCACATTACTCTGAATGTGTATGACTTGAAAACTCCAAAGGGTTTCACTGGAAGAGATGAAATCCACAACCAATAGTTTAACAGCTTTGAAGCACAACTGATTTTTGTGAACATCAGTGTTTTTTCCACACAAAGCTTCAAGTTGTTTTCAGATGAAGCTTTTTTTTAAATTCACTTGATGCCTCTAACTGCGCATTACCTAACAATACAGAGACAATAGAGCCTAATTATAGGCCTGCACAGTAATGTATAAGCCTATAATTACGACTGTTGTGGTTTCCTCTCTGTGTGGGCAGATGTTTGGACTGAAAATTAAACTTTTCACGAACTTTACTCTCAGAACTGTCAGGGGAGTACTGTGTCCAACTATTCCTGTGTTAACCTTATATTGTCCACCGCTGCTGTTTGTACATTTATTTTGAAATATAATATTTGATGTCAAGAAGTATTTATCTCATTTTCTCATGGTAAAAAAAAGTATGCTTATATGTGAATTGAACATTTTGAAAGTTTCTAGTCAGCTGTTTTTGTCGATCACGATCAAATAAACATGGAGGTGCGAATAAGTTGATAAATAAACAATACTCACAAATTTATATCGTTTTTTTGTTCTACAATTGTACAAATCATTTCGCAGATGCTTTTATCAAAAGCGATGGAAGTAAAAGAAAGTATACAAGTGCGACATATTGATATATTGTTAGCCAAGGATGATTTTGCAATTTTAGAAAAGAGGAAACAATGTCAGTAAGTGCAAACGAACAGCTTTGCGTTTGATCGGACACACAGGTGCTGACAGGCAGTGCACAGAGGCAAAGCACGACATTGACAGCGGTTCTTAAGAGCTCTAATCAGAATAGAATCCATCTTAAAACCATTGTTATCAAACAAGACCATCATCATTATCATCATCATCATCATCATCATCATTAGTATCAAAACCATCGTCATCATCTTCATTAAGGTTGTAGGTATTCATGACAGAGCTGGGTTTTTAGATTTTTCTTAAAGGTGCATAGGGGGAAAAAAACAACATCTATTTCAGTGTGTTTGAAATATGAAATTAAAAAAGCGCTATGTGAATTATCTATGAATACTGCTTTATGTTATGTGTAACTCTTTGACCTGGTATGGTTGGATTCATTATTTATGATTTAATAGTGACCATTAGCTTATCGGGGTGACAGCCTTGAAGATAAGGAGGTGAAGATAATGAGGGAAATAAATCAGTGCTTTTATTAGGGATACCTTATAGAGGGGCATCTTATCAGTTTGATGTGTTAGTTAAGATAAATTATACTTTAGTTTGTGGCCAAGCATAAGGAAAATAACTCTTACTCTCAATTATTATCTGATGAGCAAATGACCCGCCATGTGCTTCACAGGAAACTCTTGTGCACTTTGATATGTGCACTCAGAGACATAATCACAAAAACACTGTTCAGTAAGCAGGCCATCAGTGATCCTATCACAGCTTCAAACCACCAACTTAAAGGGATTGTATTGTTCCTCTCTCCTTTAATGCCAATAATGAGTTGATGTTTGCGTTGTTATCTGGTTTGTTAACCTATTGTTATTATTATAATACAGATGTTTTGTGATTGTTAACTGACCTGTCAGATTGTGGGCAACATCCCTGAAAACACCTCTCACCATCAACCTGCAAATTACACTTTTCATCACATCTCGGGACATCTGCAACATCGTTTTGTTAATTAAAACTACACATTTTAAAGTTTTTTTTATTACTGAAACCACTTATAAGCATTTTTGTGTGATCATCATGCTGTTAGAGATTGATGAGGCATTAATGCTTTGTTAATAAGGCAAAGAAATGTTAAAACTGAACAAAAGTAATTTAGGAGCCTTTGAGAGGAATGTGAGGGATGGACGGGGGTTGATGGTATGCTGTGACATCAGGAAGCTAGACTCAGTAGTATTGACTTTAGGCAGTAACTCCATACTGAACATCTGTGCTGCTTCTGCTAAACAGTCATGAACATGGATCACTTTATGGTGTCTTTTAGAGGCCACATGGATTCTTGTCAGCATTTTTGTGAACTTTAGAAAAGCTTTCAATAGCTGCAATATACATTATCCAACATGCGGTGGATAACAGGAGTTTGTTGTCAGAGTTTGCAGGACAATAAAAGCTACTATGCTACATTTACGACTGCTGATGGTATAATCAGAAACAGAGTCAAGAGGGAGGAGGAGCGATAAGCAGAGCAGATGTTCAAATATCTAATCTGATGCAAAAGTACAGAAAACTGGATTAAGAACTGGACTGAATCGACAGACACAAACACAAAACAAAGCAAGAGAAGAAGTCTGTTCCTGTAGCAATAGGGCATCAGGAGCACAGAGAGCTCAAAGGAAGATCAAGAAGTGTTCTCTTGCAGCTCTGTTTACGGCAAAAGAACTTCAAGGAAACAGAGAGAAAAACATCAGTGTATGTAGAAGTGTTTGGAAGTTTTAGAGATGCTTTTTAACGTTATCTCAGCCGTGTGTTTGTCACTCTGGGTTAGTTCTTGTGTGGTCAACTCAGCTGAGGACCTATACATGACCAGAGCTCTGAAACTGATGTCCGAGACCCCTCTCATCGATGGGTAAGTGGGAAACTCTATTGCATGAAGTCAATGTTGAATTGCGTAATCTACTCTTTGTTGTGTGAGCAACACCAGCTTAAAGACTGGAAGCAATTTCTTCTCTCCGCTGCTGAGCCCAAACTAGCCGTTCTACTCCTTGCTGTCAAACCACAGCGTATGAAGGCTCTGTGAGTGAGTCAGCTTAGACTTTCTGATCTTCCAGACATAACGACCTGCCGTGGCAACTTCGCAAGCAATTTAACAATGAGCTCAACAAAGTGGATCTGCACACTCTGAACTCAACACATACCAACATCAAGAAGATCAAGGATGGACGTCTGGGGGCACAGGTACAAACAGAATACAATTTACTGGAAAGTTCAAGGACAACACATCGACTGGTTCTATACTGTATGCGCTCTGCTCCAAGTCTGAGTGAAACTGCACTTTGTAATGATTACATTGCACATATCACTGAATTAAACAACGAATATATAGGGAATCTCAAGAAAATTCATCCATTATAAATACATTTAGTGACTTGTTTTACTCTTAATGAGAAGTTTTGCATTGAACATTTTACTTTTATTTTTGATTATTAGTCCTGGATTCTCAGAAATATTTGAGTGGAGCTTATGTTTTAATGGTTCTGACAACAAGTTTGTTGTCCCTTTTTCATCTTAAAATCACTTTTCCTGATGCCAGTCACATGTTTATGTTTGGGCTGGTTTCAAACCTGTCGAGGAAATCATGTAATGGTTTCCTCCTTCCTCCTTCGTCAAGGTTGAACAATCTAGTTGAACTAGGAACCATATTATCACATTACATTTTAAAAAGCTACCTAACCTCGATTGGGTTGGATTGGATTGGAAAATCTTTATTATCTATGAGAGGCAATTTGGTTTGCAACAGAAGTCCGCACAGGCAATACACATCATAAAAACAGCACAGGGACACAAATACATTCTGTCGGAGGACAACAGTCCATGCAAAAGTGAAGGAACACTTGAGCCATAATGCAATCCTGAGACCCATCTGCTCTTATCTGACAATAATGTATCTTTATATTAATCTCTAAAAACACTCATCTGTATACAAGTACAACTTACAGTGTGCTTTAACATGTAGCCTCTCAACTTTCGTACTATATTCTCACTGTCAGTGAGTAAGTAAGTTGCTAGATTCTAAATAAAGGCGACACTTGGAAAAGGAAGTCTCAGCAAACTGCTGGCTACACCACAAACCTTTTCAAATGTGCCTCAATAAAGCTACGATTGCTGTAAATTATACATGATAAGTGGATGGACTTCATATCTGGGAAATGCGCTCTCTTATTTCACAACTGCAACACTAGTTCAGTCAAGCAGAAAATCTTACCATGACCTTGTCAGAAATATGTTTTTTTCCTATGCTAGCTTAAAGCTCCTGTATGAAGTTTTTAGCTTGTTATAAAATACACTGAAATTTACACTGATGCCTAAATGTGACCTTCAAAGACCATAAGCAAAAAGATTAAATACATTCATTTAATTATTTTTAATCAACTGTTGCCATGCGGTAGGCGTCAGACAAAGTTGTTTCCACACAGGATGAAACCAGGTGTCTCTGGTAAAAGAGATACCTCTGTGTCAAATACACTTTCCCTGGATAAGCCGCAATGTGATAATTCAAACATTATTCTTTATTTCTCACACAGTTCTGGTCGGCATATGTTCCCTGTGAAACTCAGTACAAAGATGCAGTCAGACAAACACTGGAGCAGATAGATGTGGTTCACAGGATGTGTCAAAAATACCCAGACGACTTCATGTTTGCCACGAGTAGTGACGGTAAGACTTCGGACTGTAACAGCAATGTCAGACATGTTTCAGCAGCGTCATCTCTTTTGAGTTCATGCCTGACTCTGCTTCTTGGATATATCACTCTCCATCCCTCATGTCCCCTCTGCAAAGACATCAATAATGCCTTCAAAATGAACAAGACCGCCAGTCTGATCGGGGTGGAGGGGGGTCACTCCATTGACAGCAGTCTGGGCACCCTGCGCACCATGTATCATCTGGGGGTCCGCTACCTCACACTTACACATTCCTGCAACACACCGTGGTAAGTGCAGTCTTAAGCCAAACAAATAATCAACAGGCAATGAATTTACCAAATGTCCAATATGAATCAACTTGAACTCCTTAGACAGAGGGCAGATGGAATCAGCTAGGAATTACATTTTGACTTCAGGTTTGAAATCAAGTACAA